TCACATGGAGAGAAGTTTCTGAAGGGAAACAACGGAGTCCCCAGTACCTCAAACCCTCCCACCCCATGCTTTGGCCAACTTATTTTAAGAAAGGAAGAAAGAAAAGTCTGTTCAAAGTCTCAGGCAAAAAGAAAACAGTGCTTTGAAAATGACTGTGAAGATACTGTTTACAAAGATAATGTTTCTACTTCAAATCACGTGTAGGAACTGAATGCTGGATTGACGACAACAATTTACTGTGTTAATTTACTAAATACGTCCTTTTTTTTAAAACTTCTAACACTGTAACATGCGTATTTTCATGGGATCCATGTTACAGCCAGAACTGACATAAATTCAGAGCATGAGGTAATTAATGGTTTCCTTTATGTTCTTGGACTCCGAAGGAGTAAGAAGCAAACCTCACACGCGTATCAACGGGCCTTAAGGCAGGTTTAGCGTGGGGTTACGCCAGCCGGTATCACAGGCAAAGGCCCAGCAAGGCCCCTTCACCCCCTGAAGGCTTCGCGCGGACGCGCCTGGAGAGGCGGCGGTGTCTGAGCTTGGGGGAGAAGGGAGAAGGTGATTTTTTTCCTAAAGCCGGTTTTCCAGACTGTCCTGGCATCAGCCAGGGTGCGGTGCCTAAGCCTTAGTCGGGAGATGAGACGAGCAGGGAAGGAGTTAAAGTTTCGGCGCAAAGTCGCTGCCAACCCTTCCTCCTTGGTGCCAGCCCAGGAATCCCGGCACAACCCTCCCCTCGCTCAGCCCCGGTGCCGGGAGCCCCCCGTGACTCCCCAACACCCCTTTAAGCCCCCGCGGGCGCAGACGTGGGCCCACAGGCGGGAACACGGCCAGGACCCGGCTCTGGCTGGCTCAGACACAACGTTCAGCGTTTTGGTAACGGATTTCCGTGGGCTGAGCAGCGAGCGAGAAATAGTTTCACGCTGTACACGGCGAGCAGCTTTCAATTAACGTTCACTGTGCCTGCAGTTAATTACATCTTAAATTTAGTTCCATTAAGGATCTGGCCTGGAGACGCTTCTGCAGCGTCCGGCAGTGGCATGTGTCACCGCAGAGGACAAGCTTGCTCAAAATCCACCAACACTGGGAGATTCTCTACAGCATTTCCAGAATTCCTAGAAAGTTCTGAAAAACTAGCTCTATGAGCATCAAAATTACACGATAAAAGATTTTTTCATAGTTCACATCTGTCCAAACAATTTGAGTAAATAAAAAATAGATGGGGAAGGATCTGTCCTTTATAAAAGTCCCCCAACTCCAGGGAGAGAAAAAGGATTCTTCTCTCCCGATCAGCATCAAATATAAAAATACATTTTACATATAGGCATATCTCACTAACGTTTTTATACTTATGTTGTGAAAGGTGAGAGCTAACAGTCACTAGGAAATACAGTTCATTTTTGTACGAAAACAAACAGGGAGGTCGGACCGGTCACCACAATGCCCTTCTAGTCATGAGGTAAGTGAGGTTTAGATGAGATAAGCTAACATACAGGAGCCACACTGGTTATTTTCTGCATTCAAATTTGTCAGAAAGTTCCTATGTAAATGTTCCCGGAAAACGCCTGCTTAGGTTTACGTGGAACTTCCCACCAGCCAGCATGTTGTCAGCAGCTAGCACAGAGGGAAACCATTACCAAAAATCACCTCCTCACCTCAAAGAGACCAGCGCTCGCTATCCACTTGGAAACTTTAGCCAGTGTGAAACCAACAGGAATCACAGCAAACCCAATTCCAAAGAATCTTAAAGTTTCACTGAACTGAATTTTAAAGATGGTCTAAAAAGTACCTCTAAGGTGTCCACTTCTGCTACCCAAAACCTATAAAAATAACGAATGAAGAATAATTCTGGAAACGAGCTAAGGCACTGTCTGTGACTAAACTAACAATGTGGGGTTCCCCTGACCAGAAGGATTTATTTTTTGCAAGTTGTCAATGCAAAGGCAAAATTCTTAGTTCAAACTTCATCCTGAATTATTTTAAAACTCAGTAATAACGTAAAACCTGTGCTTAGAGCTCCCCATGCCCAAGTGTGAGATTCTGGGCTCTGCTCTGACTCGGTGAACACTCTGGTGCAACCTCACTGGGAAACACTTTATTCTAAATGTCTAAGATTGAACATACAAGTGGGTTTGGGCTGTTCTCGAGTTTGGGGCTCTTTTTTGCTCAAAAAAAAAAAATGTTTCTTGCTTTGCTGGAGAAACTAACAACGTAGGTCTCTTCTATCCACAAAACAAAGACTGCCAAGATGACACAGTTATTAAGAAAAGGGGAAAAGAAGTCACAAAGTCAGTCTGAGCGCACCTTACGAGGGCTGCACCATCTGCTTCCAGAGCGGAGCTCTCCCCTTGCGTGCCAGCAGCGGGCATGTGGTGCCTGCAGACACAACCAGGCTCTCCCTGAGCTCCGCTTTCCGAGGACGCGGGCTCGGAGGGGGCTGATCTGGAAAGAAAGAGGGACCGGTCGCAACTGCAAAGCTCCACAAACCCGGGTTTAACCTCAGCAAAGGAAATGATCCTGTTGCCACCTGAACAGTAAGCTACTGAATCAACCAGTTACAGATCAATGCCCTAAACCCCAGATTTTCTGAAGACACATACTGCTGCACTCAATGCCAATACACTCAGAGCCTCCCAAGCCCATGGTTTAGTTTGTTTAGCTCTCAGAGAGCCTTCAGCTCTTCCCTGCCCACATTGCTCTTGACAATAAACCTAAATCCCTCCAAGCCTGGCATTGCCCATATTAAACCCAACCACACTCCGGTTTGAGTAACAAGGCTTAAACAAATCCTTTCCCACCCTGATTAGGGAAACCGCACAAGTTAGGCCAAGGCTAGAAAAGGAAGAAGCGGTAGCACAGGGCGTGCTAAGGAGCCAGAGGTAACACTAACACGAAATGTACTCTGCAAGGACAGTAAAACCACCCAGAAATGGGCAGCACCATCAATTTAGTTCCGAGGCTGCTGTGAATTTTCCATGTCCGGTGCTGAAGGCAGCGTGTCCCACCTGAAGCCAAGTAACCGTAAATGCCCAAACGCCATGCCGAGGGGATGGAGACACCCAAGGACAGCTCTCCGGTCTTCAGTTCTTTCCTACACATCAAATTTGGGTTTTGGGGTTTTTTTTTGGTTTTTAAGTAAAGCGCCCATGCCATGCAATCTGAACAGAAAGCTGTAAGACACTCTCAGGCTGAGAGAGTTGGGGGGTTCAGCTGGAGGAGAGAAGGCTCCGGGGAGACCTTAGAGCGGCCCCCCAGGGCTGAAAGGGGCTGCGGGAACAGGGGGAGGGATAGGACGAGGGGAATGGGGTTAAATGGACAGAGGGGAGATGTAGATGGGATCTGAGGCAGAAATTCTTCCCTGTGAGGGGGGTGAGGCCCTGGCACAGGCTGCCCAGAGAAGCTGTGGCTGCCCCCTCCCTGGCAGGGTTCAAGGCCAGGCTGGACGGGGCTTTGGGCAACCTGGGCTGGTGGAAGGTGGCCCTGCCCGGGGCAGGGGGTGGCACTGGGTGGGATTTAAGGTCCCTTCAACCCAAACCATCTGACAATGCCATGATAAGATCCCACAGACACGGGGCTATCTTACAGCCATGCTCTCGCTGGGTGTTTAACGGCCCGTGACGTGCCCGCGCCGCAGGCACAGCCACGCTCCCGGATCACGAACCTGCATCGTCCCGCACAACCCTTCCTGCGTTTCCCCGACCGAGTGCTCTCCCCTAACATGCAGGGACTGGGATAAGACTAAGAAATTGAATTTCACTTCAGGGAGAAGCATCTGAACAGGTTTTATTTTAAAGCTGGGCTTGGCCAAGGAGCGTGTAAGTGCATTACTGTTGCCTTGTGGGAAGTCGCAACCGGAGACGGACGCCTTCAGAACAACGGAGCAGGTGGCAGAACAGGGTTTCAGAGAGAACTGATGTCGGGGGAAAAAACTAACAAACAAAACAATCAGCATGCCATCATTTCATTTTGCCTCTTTTTCCTAATGACAGCAAAGTCTCCTGTAACAACAAAATCAATGGTTTATAATTTCTGAATATGATTCAGGGTGAGATTGTTGCTTTGGGGGGAGCAAGGGGAGAAGAAAACCTGCTCTTAAGTGACTGAAAACTGCAAGATAAGCTGTTACATGGCACCTAAAAAGTATGAAATTGCACAAATATTGAATGATTTTATTTATCAAGTATAATTCATCCGGCAGCCAGGGTGCAGGGCTCTCTCAGGGAGCCTCAGCAGACATCAAACTGCACGGTCAGTACCAGAGGGCCGCAAGAATTTGTTGCACCTCTTCCACCAGGACCGACAAACCGCTCTGGGCCTCAACACGGGCAGAGACCAGGGGCCTCTGCCACAGAGCAGCTGCTTCCCCTGCGAGATACACCCAACAACTGCAGAAAGCGAGGCTCGCGAGGCTTTCCTGTGATTATCATTGCAGTAAGACAGTGCTTAGCACAACAGAAGGCAAAGTCTAAAAAAACCTTATTATTAAATCCTGATGAAAGCACTACCGAAGGCAGTTAAAGGGTCAGACAAGAAGTGCAAAGGAAGAGGCGTGAAAACCAAAAGCCCTAGGACGGGGCTCTAGAGCCCCAGGCTGTATTCTCAGGCCCAGCTCGAACTGGGCAGGAGGGAAATGGTCTTTTCCAACCTAAATGATTCCACGATTTGATGAAATCAAGGCGCTTTGTGGCTGGAAGGATTGAGCTGAGGCTGAAGCACTAAGGACCGTGTGGTGTAAACCTTTAGTGACTGGCAGTAAGATCTGCTGGAAGTTATGCCACTGATAGACAATGATTTCAACTACAGATCAATGGCTGATTTTTGCAAAAAGGATTTGGGCATGACAGTAAACAATAAAGCCTTTTTTTTTTTTCCTTTAGCTGTTATTTAGGAATGTCCCCTAACTTTCACCCACCTTGCACTGGGATGGCTGAGCCTTTTTGAACAGATGCTGAGGGTAACACTGTGGGTGGTTCTTTTTTGTTTTCTTTTTTTTTTTTAAGTTTGTGTACCCATTCTGCTTGCCAGCTGCAGCGCTCTAAAATGCAGAACGCTGCCAGCTGCAGCGCTCTAAAAATGCAGAATGGGCAGAAAAGCCTTGGGATGCTCAAGAAACGGGTATCAGGCTTTGCTGAGGAACATTATCCAGATGAGTAACTGGGATTTTATCTGCTATAACTGTTATGAATCAAGAGATGAAGCAAAAAATTTTATTTGTGGGGGGGAAAAGTATGTTAGAGGACTGGTAAAACTGTTGAATAAACTACAGTCATGTTCCTTGGTGACCTTCCTTCAACAGATTGTCTCACCTGAACTTTCATTTGAAGCTGGTGGACAGCTTTAGAGAGGACCTGATGTCTTGGGGACAGCAAGGGAACTCAAACCCCCCTGCCCCGGTTTAAAGAGGGTGAGTAACCGCCCGCCTGCCCCAGCGCTGTCGTCCCTGCTCCCAGCACTGAAACCCTGCAGTGAGCAACAAAAATAACAAATCCCAGCCACCTGAGCTTTTATCTGATCACACCTCCATGGCTCCCGACGGGTCTGTCGGACTGCTAGGGTTTGTGGAAGCCCCATGGCCGTGCTCCCCCCATCTGACCCCCCAGACACCCAACCCAGGATGTGGACGCCCGAGCAGTCCCCCAAGGCCACGACAGCAGCAGCCCTGAATGGCCGCGTCATCCAAAGGAGCCTATTTTTTCCCACAATCCACCCAGTCAGAGACAAATGTGCTACAATTCAACAATTATTTAGCGTTGGCTGAACTCATTGCTTTTAAGCTGCTAATTGTGCAGAAAAGGGCCCCTCCTCTCCCAGCGTGGAGGCGCGGGGGCAAGGCTCTGCAGCAGCCTGACGCCAGCAACTCCAGCGGGATCACGGGACAAGCTGCTGCTCTCCTGTAACCCACCGTATCACCGCCCAGCTGGGCAAACCCCCCCAGCTGCAATGTTCCAGCAGAACCGTTTTCCCCAGTACGGTCGCCTTGCTGGTTTTGGTCTTGTACAACAAATGTTTGTCGATGACTCGTTAGTGATGGCGGAGCCGTATAAGACAGGAAAGTTGGGCTTCCTGTGCTCCCAGTGTCTGCTTCACCAGGCTGCTCGCAATATCCAGCTGTGTGTGTATAAATATACAGGAATAATACGTATTGCAAATATATATCTATATACACACTCATCAGCATACATACTCAAACCTAAAATTATATATACCATATTGATACGGACAGGTTCAAAATACTGCACACCGACGAGGAAGGACAGTGCTGAGTTCAATTCTGTTTAGTCCCCACTGCTTTCTGACCAAGTAGCTAAGCGAGCAAGTATCTAGGAGGGGTTTTTGAACGGGTGTAGCTGGGTTGAGTCAACCCACGTGCAGCAGAGCTTCCCTCGAGCAGGTGCCTTACTCAGTGGGGAGGTAACCCGGCGAGCCCCGCGGTGCCCCCACGAGGCGCTGGCAGCACACGGGGCAGGGCCCGACCACTGGGAAGGGTTTGGCCAAGTCACCGCCCGCCAGGCCAGGCCCAGGGGTCGCCTAAAAGCAGAAAGCAGAGCCCAGCTGCCATGCAGAGCGTGGGGCAGCAGCTGGGTCAGCGCGGTGGGAAGCTCGAACACCAGGGACCAAGAGAGGCCACGGGCAGCGGGACCCTCCAACCTCTGCGTAGCCACTCACTGCAGGTAGAGGGGAAGCTCAGACTTACAAAGAGAAAGGAATTTAGGAGCGGTTTATCTATAAAATCATTTCAAGCCAGGCAAGGAAACCACCGCCTGACCCTGGATCTGTTCTGAACCGCAAACTCCAACACACCTCAGGAGGGACTTTCTCTAGATCAGCTGGGTGGCTGGTGTGAAGCCAGCCAACACGGGAGCAACAAGGTGTAATCCCGAGCTTAAATCCTGAATGCGGAGGAATCATTCACTGTCACAACAGCAAGAGAGCTTGTGCACTTCTACACTTCTAATTAACTACCGGTAAAATGTCTTATCACAAAAGTAACTGGTCACAAGTAACCAAATTTATAACCTAAGATAACGAGTCTCCCAGCAACTACACTGTGGTTTTAGATCTTCTCACTGGATATGTTTAAATACATTATTAAAGCTTTCATTTAAATGTATAGACTCAAAGCTGAAGCTAACGAACAGCAAGTTGAGAATCTGCAACGGAAGGCAGAGACAGACACGTCCTGGTGTATCTCTCCGCAGTGTTTCAGGGTGTTACTGCTGCCAGCCGCTCCGTATCGCTCTGCAGGGGGAGGCAACTGCTCCCCAGACCAAGGTGTCACCAACAGATCGGGCGGGTACAGCCAGCCAGCACGGCTCGAGGTGATGTAAGGTGACCCCTTGTCTACAACCTAATCTAGAGCAAAGATCATTTACCTTTTTAACGAGGAGACTGAAAACGTGTCAAGCCAGAAAGATGATCAAATTGTGCCTGCTGCAGACATTTCCACTTAAATCTCTTGATCCGAAATGGATTTAGTCATAATTGTAGCATGGTGGAGCCTGCAAGCACCACGGTCAAGAACCGTGAATGAGACTGGAAGAGAACCACTGCCATCACCTGGGATTCAACAGGACCGAGGCCCAGTCGTGGTCTTCCACCAGCTGCTGGAGAAAGCTGCACCAATGTTGGATTAAATGAATGATTTTTCCGTTTTCATAGTATCGGGTTTGGGTCTTTAAAGAATGCCCGAAGAAAACCTGATTTTCAGAAAAACTCTAGCACCAATCCTCTGAAAATTAAGACTTTAACGTGTCTCCAATTAGGAACTCAAAACCACCACTAATCATTTCTGATAATCCTGTCTAAGAGTGGGATTGATCTCCAAATAGCAAGCAGTGTAACCAAAGCAGAAAAGTGAGTTTTCCTCCCAGCACAATGTAACTTTAAATTATTTATTTTAAATTACAAGGAGTGAGTGAGAAGCCTTCCAGAACAACAGTACAGTGCCATGAAAGCACCTGCTTACCGAGTAATTGCAGCTGAGAGAAATCACAGCTATGTCAGCAGCGTACAAGTGGCCCCCAACCCTAGCAGGCAGCTCCCGAGCTGCACAGAGTGACCTCAGCCTGCCTTCTGCACCGCCACCTCCAGATCTGGTATTCCAGCAAAGCAAATCCTCATCTTCCCTAAGAGCAAAAACGAAAGGACGTTATCTTTGGGCGCACAAGGATAACCTCGTGCTGCGGGTACGTCACCGTCGGATACTGATCCAGCAGAACAGACTGACTCTAGCAGTGAAAACGTTTTGTTCATCTCACTCCCCCCGCGGCCCCCCC